ATTAAAAAGTATTTGCAATTTCAAAAAGAAAAAATTTTGCAACATTTAAGAAATAAAAACACGAAAAAAAGAAAACATGAAAAAAAAAGTGTTTACAAAATTTTTATTTTTAATTAAGAAAAAAATTTTTTTTTTTGAAAATATTTTAAAAATTACTAAAGAAATGTACCGCGAGAAAAAAAAAAGATTTTAATTATTGTGATATTAATTAATACAATTTTAAGCGTAACAATTCTATTGCAGTTTTTTCTTTTTTTTTTTTCAATTTAAAAATGCATGCTTACATGTATGCATATGTGGATGCATGCATTTCTAAAATGCAAAAAGAAAAAAAGTTGTTAGCTATAACAATTTGTGGATGCATGCATAATTTTTGCATGCATTATCACTTAGTAATAATCATTATCATGAAATTGTCCAATTTCAACTATAAATTTACATATTTGATAATTGCTAATAACTTGGAATTATTTCAGTTTTTTTTCTTTTCATTTCATTGCAATATTTTTGCATGCTATGACAATTGCGCCAATAAATCAAGGTGTTGATAAAACTGTTGAAAAAATTTTCCTAAAATTAAGATGGATGTATTTTGAAAAAATTAAAAGTGACAAGAAAAAATGACATTCCAAATTAAAAATGCCATCTTGTCTTTTTTTTCTTTTTGCAAAACAACAAAAAACAAAAATAGGAAGAAGGCGCAAATAAATCGAATTAACAATTGCATTAACCATTGCTAATATCATAGACAAACAAACAAATTGTGTTCATTTAAAAAAAAAAAAAAAAAAGCGAAATTTCAAAAACAATGAAAAACATAATTTGCATAAAAAAAAAAGTGGTAGCTAAATTATTCGTTGGAAATATCTTTCTCATATTCATAAATATATGCAAAATTAACAACAAACAAAAAAAAAAAAGTAATAATAACAAAAAAGATATGGCAAAAAAACAATTCATGGAAATTTTTAGAATAAATTGATAAGATGTGACAAACGGAATTTAAAATTCATTAAAATTCTTTGAGCAAATAAAAGATGTTGTAGGAATAAAAATTTTAGTTTTTTTTTTTTTTTTTTAAAAAAAAGTTTCTCTTTTTCTTCGAAATTTCATTTCAACGTAAATTTGCGGAAATTTTTTGGTAAGCAAAAAAAAAAAACGAAATTGAAATAAGAAAAAACACTGGTAAAGGCAAAAAAAAAAAATTGTTAACAAAGTTTTTCTTTTTTTTTTCCTTTTTTTTTTTATTTGCAACAATAAAAACGTAAAGTTTTATTTTTTGCTTTATTCTTTTTTTTTTTCTTTATCTTTCATTTTGGAATGCCAAAATTTTTGTTTTTATAAATTTTTTTTTCCTTCCTTTTGAAAATTACCAATTTGTTAAAAATAAATTTATGCAAAAGAATTGTTGCAATGATTTGTTAATTTATTTTTTATTTCACAACCATCAAATGGATCGACAATACTTTCGGACAGTAAATTAAATTTCAATTTTAAATTTTTGTTTTTTTTTTTACAAATGAAAAAAAGCAAACAAGATGAACAAGTATAATGAAAAATTTGTAAATGCTAAAATATCAAATTAAATTTGTGCACTAATTACTAAGCTTTAATTAGCAAAAGGAATGCCTTAAATTCTTCATAGCCTCATAGATTAAACAATTTTTAGTTTCTTTAAAAGAAAAAAAAAATTTGCGTTTTTTTTTTTTCATTGAAAATTATCAATTTGTAAAAATTAATTTTTACATAAATGTAGCAATAATTTGTTAATTTATTCGATTTTTGTATTGTATAAAATATATGAATGTTT